ACTTTATCTAGGTAATTAGATTTTTTTTACATTTCCAAAATACATGTTCTTTTTTATAAGTGTAATGATTAATGTTCAGTATTCTTGAAAAAGTTTAAGGATGATTTTTATAAATCAGTTTTATTTCAGTCAGTGATTTTTAAGGAAATTTGAAGGGTGTCTGTTGGAATTAATGTTCCTTTAACTTTCTGTTTTCATTTTCATTGTCATGTTTTTCTACAGCTAAGGCATTTCGAGTATTGATTCATTCTTTTAGCACTGTTAATGTTAATCTTTGAAAATGGTTTATTGTTTTCTGATTATAGTAGTAACATGTATTCATTACAGAAGGCTTAGAAATACTGAATATCCTCAGTTAAAATTTGGTTAATTTCTTAATACACCTTTAAATATGCATCTGCACACACATGCACATTCATTGTTTTCTCTGTATGCGATTGGATCTTATTGTATGTAGTAGCATGTGTATTTGCCTTATACTACAAGCTTTTTCTTTGAAATATCCTCCTAAATGAGATGTGCTTTTTAATGGTTTCATGGTTTTACATTGTGGAAATGTACCATCATTTATTCAACGATTCCCTTACCTTAGCAGGGTTAAACCTGTTGGTATAATATGCAACAATTGAGGTCCACTTAAAATATTTTAAGCTAATATAACATACTTATCAATGAACATGCTTTATTACTAATGAGTTAGCTTTTAGTGGGAACATTTATATTGCCAATGTATTTGCTCTGTCGACCATAGCAGAATACTGTAGAACTTCTTGCTGTGTCCTCACATGGCGGAGACAGAGAGAGGAAGCAAGAGCTCTGGTGTCTCTTCTTATAAAGGCACTAAGTCCTATCATGAGGACCCCATTCTCATGACCTGTCTAAGCTTAATTACCTCCTGTTATCTCCATATAACATCATGTTGGGGGTTAGGGCTTCAGCATATGAATTTTGTGGGGTTGGGGGGAGACACAGTTCAGTTCATAGCAGTCAACAGTGAGAACTATTTCAGACACTTTTGTTTTTACCTAAGTAGCATTTTTAAAATTAGGATCTAGAATTGTTCTCACTTTATCTGTGGGTAAGAGTACCTGAAAATCTTCATAGAAAAAATTAAAATTACTCACAATTGCTTACTCATCATGGGTTATATAGTTAAATTATGCATCACTGGCATAAAATGGAACTGTGAAATTGCATGAAATTGCTGAAGTGATTGTACTGTCCCATTCCATGAATGTTCATAGTTCCAGAAAAATTGCGAATGGCTCTTAATGTCTTTTAAAATAGTTTATGAAAAGAGACGTTAGAGAATTTCCTTTTCTATGTGGAAAATCATAGCCGATTTTTTGGATGATTATGATCAGTTACTGAAGTTCCTTTTAAAATTAGTCTCGTTCTCTCCATAAATAAATGATACAACTAACAAGGAAGGCTTAGTATCTTATAGTGCTTTATATTTTTAAAAATATTTATATAACATCGTTTTAAAATGTCAATGATAAGTTGATCTTATAACAGTGTCACTAGGGTAGAATAAATACAATCTCCATTTAATATTGAGAAACTTGAAGCTTGGAGAAATTATTTTACCTAGGGTCAAAAATTCAGTTTGGGTCCATTCTGTTACTTCAAGTCATATATCTTCTATGTGTTCAAAGAACATAGAACCATCTATATTACCTTTGTCTGAGAAATAATAATTAATCAGAGAAAGATACTAATAAATGGTTACCTTTGTAATTATGTAGAAAAGTGAATAGCTAGAAGGTACTTTGTATAGTTAAGGTACTTGAAAATTCATATATAGCATTCTCATTTAAAAATAATATAATTAGTGGTATATTTTATATGGTCGTTTCTAAGAGCACTGCTAATTTGTTATTGTCCTTGCCATCTTTTTATTGTTCCTTTTTAAGGTTTTAGAAATTTATTTTAACATTGCTTTCCTGGAAGATACAAATATATGGTCAGCATGATACTGTATTTATTTTATGTAATATACTTTCAGAATCACATAATTGGTGTTGTCAGTGTACGAGTTGTAGTGGTACAAAGCCTAGACTGTTTAGTAGAGAGATAACAAAGCTAGTGCAAAATCAGACTTTTTTATTTTTGGCTGCCAGTTTTGGCTGGTAAGATAGCTATGTATAGGTTAGGACAGGAGTTGGTAATAAGGTCTTTTCCACAACTCAACTCTGCTGTTGTAGTGCGAAAGCATCTGTAGGCAATACATAAAGGAATGGACCTAGCTGTGCTCCAATAAAACTTTATTTACAAAGACAAGCAGCAGCCATATTTGGCCTGTAGGCTCTAGTTTGCTGATCCCTGGATTAGAATATGTAATGAAATAGAACTTCTCACCATAATATTTCCCTATTATTTATCAGAAGTTTTGTTTACTTAAATTCTGTTTTAATTTAATGCTTTAATTCGTAACCTTGATCCCCTTTAATTTCACCTTTTTATTCACATTTTTATGTGCTCCTGAGCTTCTGTACCTTCAGCTACTTTTCTAGGCTAACATCATCACACAGCTTTCCAGCCTTGTTGTCAGGACACCCCAAATTAAACCAATCTAACATTTGCTGAGTTTCAGGAATGAGTGGTGGTAAGGAAATGGTGATGTTGGATATAAAGAAAAGATAGAATCCCATGGATGTAGGTGGCTTTGGAAGGCTTATTAAAAGAGGCAGAACTTGAGCTGACTCTTGAAGACTGAGGGAAATTAAATTAGAAAAAAGAGAAGAGTATTTCAATAAATAGTTGACAAGGGGAGGCTCACATGTTGCTTCCCTCTCCCTTTTCATCACCAGTTATACAGAATCCCACCATGGACTGGTCCTTTTCATGATCATTTCCTGGAGCAAAGTGCTAACAGCGTGACTTATTTTCTTTGGGGATCCCATCTCTTTGGATTATCTCTTTTCCTTCCATGTGCTTATTAGTAAGATGAAGAGGGAATGCATGCAGACATGCTCTGGGAAGGTCTACAACCTGTGGGCTCGACCAGCTCTGTTCCAGGCACTCTGGCAAATGGACTTCTCTCCAGCTGGTTGGTGTCTTTTTCCATAGTGCCCCTTCCAGTCTTTCCTGGCATCAGTGTGGTAGACAGGTATGACCCTGAGGGAAGGGAATAGGAAGCCACCCAACTTTCTTGGTTTATAGGCTACCTTTAAGATTAAAAGTGTAAATAAAAGGAGTCCTCCATGGGGATGTGTGTTAGCCCATTTGGGACATAACATGGAATTTGGAATTAGGTTTATTAAAAAAGAGAGAGACACTGTGAATAAGTATTTATTTTCCTCTGTGCACATGTTTTCCTGTGGCCCTTGTAGGAGAAGGGTAGTTGTGGCAAGACAGGTAGAATCTTGCCATCTCTCAACCTTTTTTCTTTTGGTATGACCACATCTCAGTCACGCTGAAGAAAATAGATACAGCAGACCTAGCCGAATGTATGGACAGGGGACTGGGTGTGGAAGACAAAGCCCTGTATGGAGGGAGTGAAGCCCCTGCAGTGGGGTAGCTCCAGTGTGTATTCTGCCTTCTGCCAGTGTAGCTGCAGGCTTAGCAGGTGACAGCCTAGATTTAGCAGCAGGATTTGGAGTTACCAGGATCTGTGGAGAGCCAGGTAGTTTGTCTCAGTTGCCTCAGTCTGCATAAACAAGTTCTCTACAAAAAGGGCAACACCTCCTCATCTTAATTGCAAAAGTATTTGGTGCTGGGACTTCCCTGGTGGCGCGGTGGTTGGGAATCCGCCTGCCAATTCAGGGGACGCGGGCTCAGGCCCTGGTCCGGGAAGATCCCATGTGCCGGGGAGCAGCTAAGCCCATGTGCCACAACTACTGAACCTGCGCTCTAGAGCCTGTGAGCCATAACTACTGAGCTTGTGCTCCGCAACAAGAGAAGCCCCCGCTCTCCACAACTAGAGAAAGCCCACGTGCAGCAATGAAGACCCAACACAACGATAGATAGATAGATAAGATAGATAGATAGATAGATGATAGATAGGTAGTATTTGGTGCTGGACTTCATTTCTGAAGCCAAAGTAAGATCATATTAAAATAAGTGAAGTTCCAGGACGCTGATTTTTAGCCTCTGGATTTTTGCTGGAGTGTATAATATTTACTTTTTTTTACTTCAGAAGAAAGTAGGCACATCTCTAAGCCTTAAGTAACAGTTGTGAATATTACTGTTGGACCGCAGGGCTATGTGGAGGACATCAAGAAACATATGAGAGTGGGGGTGTTACTATAAAAGGAGTATGTTGTCATTGGAATTAAGGTGGGGAAATCTCAATGGAATCATTGAAACCCAAGGACAAAAATGAAAATCTGGCTGGCTTGGAGGCAGAGGGAAAATTAGGCAATAAGTAAAACTACAACATTGGATAGGTGAGCACAAAAGTACTAATTGGATTTTGTAAGGAGACCACTTGGGAGTGAAAAGGATCAGCTTTAAAAACAGACCATAATGGAATTAGAAAAGGATATTTCTAAATTTAAAATATACCAGACTTTAGGCAGTTGAAAGAGGCCTTTGGGAAGACGTAGGGCCTAGAACTTCCACTCATGCAAAGCCTCCTTCATCTCTAGGCCTCCAGTGCAGGGCAGAGACTTACCATGAGGCTTTTCTCCTGATCCCACCACAGTCCCCAGGAAGCTAGACTGGGCCGTAGGAAAACTCCATTCTCATAGACCAGGTAGCCTCCTTTGTCTCTTTCCTCCTCACTGTTTCATTTCTAGGAAAACATTCTTAATTTTGAATGCTTTAAAAACCTACTCAAAAAGTCTTCAAGTACAGATTTTAAGATTGGGCTATGTAAATTTGCTAAATAAATCTATGAGTACAAAAGCAGTGCATGAAGTTTTAGTATTTAATATTTACCATAGCCAATATTACCTGCATAGAAAAAAATGTCAATCCAAATGAAAGAATTAACTTCAATTAGAAAATAACATGGTTTACTGAATTCTTCTCCCTTTTTCTTTAAAACCATGCAGGTAATATATGCTTTGAACACTAAAAATGATGAGCACGAATCTGCAATTCAAGCCCTCAAAGATGCTCATGAAGAAGAAATCCAACAAATTCTTGCAGAAACAAGAGAAAAAATATTGCAGTATAAAAGCAGAGTATCAGAGGAGTTAGACCTTAAGAGAAAGATTCAAGTTTTAGAAGCATCATTAGAAGATCACATAAAAATGAAGCAGCAGGCTTTGACAGAATTTGAGGCTTATAAGCACAGAGTTGAGGACATGCAACTTTGTGCAGAAGCCCAGCATGTCCAACGCATAGTAACCATGTCTAGAGAGGTTGAAGAGATCAGAAGGAAATTTGAGGAAAGATTACGGAGTTTTGGACAAGTCCAAGTACAGTTTGAAAAAGACAAACGGTTGGCATTGGAAGATTTGCGAACTGCTCACAGACGGGAGATCCAAGAGCTGCTGAAGTCACAGCAGGATCACAGTGCCTCCGTTAGTAAAGGACAGGAGAAAGCGGAGGAGCTGCACAGAGTGGAGGTGGAGGCCTTAAACAAGACACTGGAGGAGCTAAGGCTCGAGCGGAAAAAGCTAATTGAGGATTATGAAGGCAAGTTGCGTAAAGCTCAGTCCTTTTATGAACATGAGCTGGATACTTTGAAAAGGTCACAGCTTTTTACAGCAGAAAGCCTCCAGGCTAGCAAAGAAAAGGAGGCAGATCTTAGAAAAGAATTTCAGGGACAAGAAGCAATTTTACGAAAAGCCATAGGAAAATTAAAGGCAGAGTTACAGATGGCACAGGGTGAAGCTGGAAGTCTCCATGACAAATGCCAGAAGCTTCAGACAGCGCTTGTTACAGCAGAGAGCGGTGTCCGGGTGAGCAAAGAACATTGCATTCAACACATGGGTTGTTTTTCCCCACTTTTCTCTCTTTCTTTTCGATTAGGCCACTTTCACTTTTTTTTTTTCCATTTTGCTTTTTTTCTGCTTTTCTTTTGTGACAAAATCAGTGAAAAGGTAATCTTTATTACCCTGTAGCTGTTATTTCCTACAACAGTTTCAGATACGAAAGGCCCAAAAAGATAAGCTTGAAACCTTATTGATTGTTCATGAAAGGATTTTTTAATAACATGTTAATATTTTCCCAGTGATTTGGGAAGTTTAAAATATTGGTCTTTAATTATGTTTTTTTCCTTTTCCTCCATTAATGATGGGGTCTGCACATCAGTTGATGTCCAGACACTGAACAAAAAACTAAGATTGCTTTATAAATAGGGGTATGGCACAAGTCTTAAAAAAAAAAGCCAAAAAGTCTCTCTGTTTCTTGGCATAGAAAATTTCATAGGTATGTTTTTAATATCTGCGTGGCATTTAAATATATTAAAAAGGGTCGAATAGCCTTTCATGTTTGGGTCATATGACTTATGAAGATAACAAGTTACGTGTTGCTGATACAGATTCAAAACTAGGTATTGTTAAGTGTGACTTTTGAATAAGAGAAAGTTGCTGCTGGTAGTTTAAATGAATTTTTTAGCTTAGCATCATCCTTGCATATTAATAATGGCTATTTGATTTTTCTTAGGTTCTTCGAAAACAGCTTGATGATGCCAAGGAGGGAGAAATGGCCTTACTAAGCAGGCACAAGGAAGTGGAAAGTGAGCTAGCAGCAGCCAGAGAACGTTTACAGCAGCAAGCTTCAGATCTTGTCCTCAAAGCTAGTATGTTCTACACAGTTCTTGGTGTGTTCCTCAGCTAAAGCCAACACTTAAATGTTAATTCGAGACAGAATTGGCCTTTTCTTCTCATATTTTAGAATTATTTAGATTCTAAACATGTTAAAGGGTTCTGTTATCTTGTTAATCAGTCATGAGATAAGCAAATGATAACTTATTTTTAGGAATATATTTCTATAAAAAAATTAAGAATTATAGGTTTTAGCACCAATAAGTCAGTCACTAAAAGAAAAACACTCTAAGAGGCGTTGTCCTTTTAAAACATAAATATTTGAAAATACTTAAATTAGTGGAACTATATTTAAATTACAACAGCCTCATTTCATTTGGCTTATTAATGAGGATCATTTTACGTACTAAAGCTGGGTCGCCCGTCCTGACATGGCTGACATGCTCACTTCGAAGCCCTCACTAGAGGAGGGGGGTGGCCTGTATTGATCTGGAGTGACATTTCGCTGGGGTGTTTGGTGAGCCAGGGGAGGCCCTTGAATGAGTTCTGTGAGGATGTCATGTGATTGACTGGCTCATTGGTGAATCCCAGATTACCCTCCCCCTGAAGCAGAAGCTTTTCGACTTGAATATGTATGAAAATCACCTGGACAGCTCGTGCGACCACAGACGCTAGGCCCCAGCCCCAGAGTTTCTGACGCAGTAGGGGTCTGGGGCGAGCTTCACTTGTGACCGGTGCTCCCAGGCGCTGCTGGTCCAGGGCGCTTTGAGAACCGCTGTCCTAACGCATATGCCTTCTGAGCATATTTTCTCATATTCACTTTCCATCTCCCTGTCTCTGTTCATACCACCCCCGCACACTTTTGTCTTTTTGCTGTTGTCATTTTAGGTTTTCATAGCCTTGCTGTCCTTCTCTGTCTCTTGCTCTGCCTCAGTTCTTTATCAGGTCTGTTGTCTACAACAAATTTAGTTTCAGCCAAACTGCCCCCTGCCGTCTTTCCTTGCTGCATACAGATTTCTTCCTCTTTATGTTAAAGTTTGAAAAAAAAGAGGTTAGAAAAGAATAAGTTACTCATTTTAGTGCCATCGTGCTGCTCAGTGCAACTTCTGTTACTTTGCTTTACTCCCAGGACTTTTATATGTACCCTGAGGAGTTGTTTCTACCTCAACTTGTAGAGATTGAAATCTTCAAAAATGATTGGAATGGTCCTAGGTGCAGGGAGCAACATCAGTGATGTGAAAATGGACTGCTTTCTAGTTTAAGTAATTCTACTTGGATAATAAGTATTCCCATGGTAAATATTTCTATTGCATACGGTGAGGAAACCAGGGAACTATTTGTACATGCAGACCATTTACTTTACTTTCATAGTAAGTACATTGTGTCATTAACTATCAACTGTTTTATACCACAATGTAACAGATTTTAAATTGGGGCTTTCTTTTGGGGGGGTAGGTCATATTGGAATGCTTCAAGCAACTCAAATGACCCAGGAGGTTACAATTAAAGATCTAGAATCAGAAAAATCAAGGGCCAATGAGAGAGTATCTCAGCTTGAAGAAGAAAGAGCTTTTTTGCAAAGCAAAACCCAGAGTCTGAATGAAGAGCAGAAGCAGCAGATTTTGGAACTGGAGAAGGTAAAGAATGATGGAGAACTCCACCCCCCACCCCCCATGAAAGAAAAGAAAGAAAAGTTCAGTTTTCCTCTTTTTCAGATTTTATTTAGAGTGTTTACTTCTATTCCATAGTAACAGTCTACGTCTTAACTCTAGGAATTTTTTGTTTTTATTTTGAGGAGAAAAGGTATTGATATAAAGCTGGGCTATCCCATATTGTGTATATGTTCAAAATATTGCTGATAACAATTTATAACGTAAGAACTTACGACATTTCAACCTATTTCAAGCCAGAAGCTGAATGAACTCTTACTTCAGTGGGATGTACATTACGGTTAATCGTATTTATTTTTCTGTTGATGAAACGTATTATTGTGTATACACCTAGGAAATGTCTGTTAAACTGAAAAGGATGACCAAAATCAAGCCCTGAAAATTCATATACCAACATACTTAATTTCTAAATGAAATAAATAAGACATATGATGTGTAGAGTAATTGCTGAATATTTATTCCAGCTTTTCACATATCTACAATACCAGGTGAGGGTTTGGGACACTCTTCCTCCTTCTCTCAGCAGCCAAGTGTATTGAAAAGTGTCTGTTCTCCTCGCCCTGGTTCGCCTCCCACTCACTCCTTACCTCGTGTGGGCTGGTTTCTCCTGCCACCACTCCACAGGCTCGACATTGGCCTCAGCCTCCAGTGATGTCCTGGCTGCTGGACTGGGGGGATCTTGTCTTCCTGGGATACTGACTCCTCTGATTTACAGCATCTCTCTTTGGTTCTCTCACACTTTCCTCCTGTCTCCCAGACCCTGCAGTCCCAGGCCCTGAGTCTGTGAGCTTCCCTCTTCTCTCTGTGGCCTTACCTTTTTTCTTTTTTTTTTTTAATTTTTATTTAATTTTTTAATTAAATTTTTATCTAATTTTTTTTAAAAAAGTTTTTATTGGGGTATAGTTGATTTACAATGCTGTGTTAGTTTCAGGTGTACAACACAGTGAATCTGTTATACATATACATATATCAGCCTTTTTAAGAGTCTTTTCTGTGTCCTTACCTTTAATGTTCCTCTTGCATTCTCATCTCATTCCACAAGCTCATCCATTCCAGTAACATCCGCTGTCACGTGGTCAGTGATGTCTCCCAAAGCCGTTCGTCTAGGCCAGATCTTTTCCCTGAACTTGAGTCCTGTGTATCTAACTCCCACTAGATAACTCCCACTGCAGACAGATACCTGTTTCTCACAGATGTGTCAAATCAACCTGCCTAGAACTTTCTCCCCTCAAAATACTATATTTCCTTTACTCCTTTTTTCAACCAGTAGCACTATAGTCTGTCTAGTTTGGTAAATCAGAAACCTGGGAGTCGTTCTTGATTACTGTTTCATTAACCCCCTTATCGGTTCCCAAGTCCTGTCAGCTCTGCACTCTCCCTGCCTTCCATCAGCTCACTAGCCTACTGCCAAGATGATTGTTTTTTTAAAAATGTCAGTCACTGAAGACATTCTGCCTGTGGACAGCAGCTTTAGCCCATGCCCAAGAGCTCCTGCCCACCCTTCCTGATGGCCTCTCTCTTCCTCAGCACCCCTCCCCTTCTTTCTCCTTCCTGCTTCTCTGGTTGAGCCCTGACTGGTACAGTTTTATAGGTAAAAGCTATGATCTACGATGAGGGGGACTTCGTGTCTGAGCTGTGAAACAAAAAGACCTGGGGGTGTTGTATTCAAGTATTCAAGTAGGGGCTCTGGTTTCTGGTGACCCCAAGTCAGGGAGAGCTAGCAGAGGGATTGGGATCCAGTTCTAGAACACTGCTCTGAGCCCTGAGCCCCCAGTACCCCCATCCCTGTAGGGGAGGCTTGAAGGGAAGAGCTGACACCCAGTCTGGCCCAGGCAAGAAAGAAGAAGCTGGGAGTTTCTGTTTCCTCTGTCTAAACCTTCTGGCTTTGAAAGGAAAGAAAGTCCAGTGCCTTACATTCAAGAATCTTCCCTAGGGCTTTTCCCCCTCATCGGGCCTTAGGAATAATGATAATCTCTTTATTATGTAAAATAATTGCTAACAACTATAAAATATTTACAGTAGGCTGGGTATATTGCTAAACATTTGGGGGCACATTATCTCATCTTCAGCAACCCTGTAAAATAGGTTCTTCCTTATTGTTCCCATCTCACAGATGGAGAAACTGAGGCTTATAGACGTTATGCACGCATGGTACCCCCAGTCACATGGCTAATAAGTGGCAGAGCTGGAACTTGAACCCAGGTCTGTGAGACTCCAAAACCCATGTTCTCCACCTCTGCAGTGTGCTGCCTCCTATGACGTGAGGACCTTTTATTTCCACCTGGGTAGTTCTAGGGACCTGCAGACTGAGCCAGGCAGGCAGGTGCTGTAGAGGCCAGACAGCAGGATCGCTCTGCCCATCCAGGAGGAATTAATGATCCAGATGAGGTGTGTCTGTCTTCCGAGAGTCTTATAGAGCATCCAGGTCGGGGGGATCTGCACCAGCCCCTAAAGAGATTTAAAACATCTTTTAACCTCATTTTCTTGAACTTTTACTTTCTTGTCTTCCTCTTTTGTAACACCACATAAGTTCTTCAAAGAGTTGCCTTCATTCAGTACCTCCATTTCCTCCTTTCAGCCTGGCTTCCCCTCTCCTGCTCTGTTGTACCGGGTCCTAAGGCATCAGTGGGAACACAACCAGCACACCCAAAAACTGTACGCATTTTCTCAGCAGCACTCACAGCTCTTGTCCGCCCCCTGCCCACCCTTTGTCTCTGTGACGCTCTCCTCCTTCCCAACGGCTCGTGCGCCTCCTTCACCGGCTCCCCTTCCTCCTCCTGCTCCTGAAATTCAGATACTTCCCAAAGTTCTTCCTGTCTTTGTTTCCTTTCTACTTCCTCCCCTTGACAAGTTGTCTTGGTTTGCTGGGGCTGCTATAACAAAACGCCACAGCCTGGGTGGCTTAAACAACAAACATTAAAAATAAGTAACTTGGGCTTCCCTGGTGGCGCAGTGGTCGAGAGTCCGCCTGCCGATGCAGGGGACGCGGGTTCGTGCCCCGGTCCAGGAAGATCCCACATGCTGCGGAGCGGCTGGGCCCATGAGCCATGGCCACTGGGCCTGCGCGTCTGGAGCCTGTGCTCCGCAACGGGAGAGGCCACAAGTGAGAGGCCCGCGTACCGCAAAAAAAAGTAAATAAAAATAAATAAGTAACTAAAAATTAAAAAAAAAATTTTTTTTTAAATGTCAGTTTCAGTGATTTCTCATTGCCATCAGAATAGAATCCAGAGGCCTTAGCATAAAAGACCCCTGGTCATCATTTGACCCTGCCTGCTTCGGAGCCTCATCCCTCTCCACTCCCAGCCTTGAATCCTGTGTTCTAGCCACACTGCTCAGCTGCATGGGTTTCCATCTTGCTAACTTCACCGCCTGGTAAACTGCTTCTCAGCTTTCACAATGCTGGAAATGGTTATGAATGCAGGCTTTTGACATCAGATCTAGGTTTGAAATTTTCTCATCTCTTGTTTCCTGGTGGGCTCGTGAGAATTAAGAGAGAATGTGTCGTCATCAGCTCAGATGTTTTCTCTTCTGGAAAGCCCTCCCTGATTGATCAGTCTCTCTCTCTCTCTCTCT